TATCGGTGGTACAAAATGTTCTCAGAAGGCCGAGAAGATGTGAACGACGAAGAGCGTGCCGGACGCAAAAATTAATTGCATGAGTGGAGCATCATGAGTTCTTGCCACAGGGTAGGACGGTCAATAACGAATATTACCTGCAAGTTATGCGCAATTTGCGCCAAGCAATCCGCCAGAAACGCCCGGATTTGTGGAAGAACAAAAATTGGCTTTTGCACCACGATAACGCCCCTGCTCACACATCGTTGCTTGTGCGCGACTTTTTGGCCAAAAACAACACACTAAACATGCCGCAGCCAACGTATTCCCCAGATCTGGCCCCCTGTGACTTTTTCTTGTTCCCTAAACTGAAGAGGCCCATGAAAGGATGACGTTACGCTACGATTGACGAGATAAAGACGGCATCGAAGGAGGAGCTGAACAAGATAAAAAGAAATGATTTTTTGAAGTGTTTCGAAGATTGGAAAAACCGTTGGCACAAGTGTATAATATCTCATGAGGATTACTTTGAAGGGGCAAGAAAGATATTCATGAATAAATAAATAATTTTTGAATGAACACAAAATTCGCGATATTTTTTGAACACACCTCGTACAGAACAAAATTTGTGAAAATCTTTGTAATGCAAATTCTTCTTCTATTGACTAAAAAGTGGTAATTTGAAATTTCAAAAAGGGCCTTGGACAGCATATGAAGATATCGAAATATCTGATACCGTGCATGCAGTCCCTATCTTTTTAAAGAAAAAAACAGCAAAGAAAATTCAAATTTATTTTGGAATGTTTATTATTATTCGAAAGAACATTTTTAGGCATTTATTTTTGAAGATTATCTTTTTCAAATGTTGGACACGGCCACGTCTCAGATAGTCTATCTGTTTTGGCCATTTTTCGATGACTTGTTCAAGTATTTCGACTGGTAACTGCGAATGACACACCGGATGTTTTGCTCCAAGTCCTGAATCGAAGCTTGATGGTCCGCATAGATCTTAGACTTTACATATCCGCACAGGAAAAAATGTAACGGTGTTATATCACACGATCTTGATGGTCAATCGACCGGCCTAAAATCGCAGTGTTTTCCTAATAAATCCACACATGGATGTGATGTGTGGCAGGTGGCGCCCTCTTGTTGAAATCAAATGTCGCCGAGATCACGAGCTTCAATTTCAGGCATCAAATAGTCGGTTGTCATGACGCGACAATGGTTACCATTGACGGTTACGTTCGCATCAGCATCTTTTTTGAAGAAATATGAACCGATGATTCCACTGGCCCACAAACCAAACTAAACCCTTATTTTTTCTGCATAAAATGGCAGCTCTTGAATGTCTTCAAGTTGCTCTTTGTCGCAAATGTGGCAACATTGTTTGTTTACGTACCCATTGAGTCAGATATGGGCCTCAGCGCTGAACAAAATTTGGCTCGAAAATGTCGGTTCTTCTTGAAACTTTTCAAGAGCCCTTAGAGCGAAGCGATGTCGCTTGGAAAGGTCAAGCGGCGCCCTAAGAGTTTTAAAATGGTTATAATCAACTTTTTTTGGGGGGTTTTACATAATAGAATTCATAATTATTACGTTAAAATGTTTGAAAATGAAATTTAAGTTTTCCGTATATTAGCCTAGACAAAGTGCTATCTTCATATTTATGTTTCAAGCATGGAACGATTCGAATAAAAATTACGATTTTTTCGAATAGATTGGTTCCAGGCCCGCCTCCCGAAAAGAATATTTCTCCACACATTGACAAAGGCACAGGGAGATCAACGCATCAAATATCAAGCAATTAAAAACTTGAAAACGATTTCTTGGTTTTGCGTCTTGATGTTTTTCCAACAAAAGGGGGTCCCCAGTCAGTTTATACTAAGTCGCCTCCGAGCGGCTGATGTTTTTTTTACGAGGAGTCTTCATTTCATGTCTGAACTACACTCGCAAGGGTTGACATTCCCTGCCGAGGAGCGACCGCAATTAGAAAATCTAATTTAATTTTTTATTTACATTCATTTTCTATAACTTCTGGATGTTGCTCGGGATTCGAGCCCGGACCTTCCGAATGGCAGTACACAATGTGATCTACTCGGCTACCGCGGCCGCCGCCACTCGGCTATCACTTACCGAAAGAAAAAGTGTTCCCAGTTGTACTATAGGTGTGTAGCCCAGTTCCCTCAAAGTTCTTCCTTATCGGCTGCCTAAGTCTTACGAAGAATACACTCTCCAAGGCTGTGGTTTGAACCGTCAGTCGTTTAGGACAAAACTTTATATATTAGATATATATATATATATATTACCGACGGATTTGCCTTCCGCCCAATCTTTCTTGCTAGGGATAGTTTAGGCGACTAGCCTCTGTCAGAAGATTTCCTTTTTTTCGGTCGCATTCTATCTAAACCACAAATCGTGCACCGTTCAATTCAATGACAGTAACGAAGATACCTTTTGGCGAACTTCGAAATTTCTTGTAACTTGAACCTTTTATCGGGACGTTTTTTGGGTACTTTCTAGTGGAGCACCACTTCTTCACTAAGCAAGTGTATTACTGAAGTTGGGTATGATTTAAGCGTGTTCTTCTTCTTAATAACCGACTTTATGTTCTTTTGCAAATTATGTGCAAAAGATTATGTTATTTATTCAGCTTCTATCGGCTCTAAGCTAGAGGGATACACATGTCGAAGGGGTTAATTTGCTAAATGAGGGATAATTAATATAGAAAGCAAAAAAAAAGTTACATAAAATTAAAAAAAATTAACAATAACGACTGTGTTGCAAAACAAAGTTGTTGAAAAATCATCAAAATAACATTACCCAGTCAGCCATTTTAAGAGCACTCTGATGAAAGGACTCTTATATCTTTGGTTGTATGCAATGTAGCGCCATCTTTGCAGAACAAAAAAATCGTCCACATCAACATACCCAATTCAGACAGGAAAAAATCATAAAAAACATAATTTATGACTGTATAGCTTTCTCCACTGACCTAACTAGTTACTGACTTCATCGATTTAGGTGTCACCATGGACCCTAAGCTGGCTTTTAGAAATCATATAAATGTTTGTGCTAATAAGGCAAAAGACGTTTTAGCTCTCATTAAGCGTTAAGCTAAGGGGTTCAATGACCCATATTAGATTTTAGGATATGGCTTTATCAATTGTATAGTAATAAATTGGAATCTGTACAAAAGCAATTCCTATTATTCGCGTAAAGAAATTTAAACTGAGATACGAGCAAGAATCTGCATTCTTTCAAAACCCGTTTACGGCTAATTAATTTGCCTACACTCTATAGTCGTAGAAAGATCCTTGGAGTTTCATTATTAACTTAATTGATAAGAGGTTTTATCAATAGCCCATTCCTACTTGACGAGCTTAACTTTAACTTTACCATCCCTTTAAGATCATCTAGACATTTTAGGCCGCTTTCATTGTGCTCTTGCAGAACAAACTTTGAAATGCACGATCTTTTTAGATCTTTTTATAACGATTTTAATACACCTTTCGCCAACATTGACTCCGCTGATTCTTTTTTCTATATCAAAACCCACTTGCTGAGAGCTTTAAATAATTATTTGTAAATTCCTTCTCCTTTTCTTGGTTTAATTTTATACCAGCTGATTAAGAAAACTGTAACTGTAGCGACCTTCCTCGATCGGCCTCGGGTTCAAGACAGTACGGACTGTCACTGGGTTTCGGTCACCGGTCTGTTGGATTTTTCGATCATCCTTCAGACACGTCCCTCGGTCGGTTGGGCTGGAGGTGGGTAACGCTGGGTTTGTCGTTAAAACAACAAAAAACATCATGGCCGGCTGCATTTTTGAAGAAGTATGAACCATGATTTCTTCTGCCATAGAGCACACCTGACAGTTACTTTTGAGGATGTAAGGGCGCCTCAACAATGACTTGTAGATTATCATCAGTCCAAATGCGAAAATTTTGTTTATTAACGTATCCATTCAATCTAAAGTGAGCTTCTTCGTTGAACAATATTTTCTTGTGAATATCGTGATCGGTGGCCATCACATTTTGGGCACATTCACCAAATTTACACCGCGCATGATAGCGACTCGGCTTCAATTCTTGCACGAGTTGGATTTTGCAAGCACGAAAACCAAGTTCCTTTAGCAGAACTTTCCATAAATTGGATGAGCACTGCTTCAGTTGTTGTGTAGTATGGCGGATGGACGCATTCGGGTCTTCTTCGATAATTAATAGCCTCCTCCTTGCGCACTGTACGGCGTCTCGGCGGATGCTCAGTATACACAAAGCCGATTCGTGGTTGTTAGAGTTACAGACTCGATGGGCGATTATGTAGCCCGGTTATCGGAAAAAACGCACATTGTGTCGTATAAAATCAAACCACTGTTTTTATAATAATTTCCACGATTAAGCCAATTTATTATTAAATAACAAGCGAGATTTTATATGAATTGAGTAAAAGCTGTCAAAAATACCAACTCCCAAAAAAGCATGGCCTCGTTGAAAACCATACGTCTAAAAAAACTCTACTGTTTCTACTGCTGACTGCTTTGTGAATGAAGTTAGAGTTTAAACTCACCAAAAATGACTCGCTACTAGCAGAAATCCAGAGCTTTTTCTGATGCTTGAGTTTCAAAGAAAAATAGTCTCTGCCGAGGATTATCGAATGATTAATGTTTAGTAAATAGCATGAGAGCAGTGAAAATGAGTCCATAAATAGTCTTTTATGACACTTATGGTTTGCTGGGTAAACATATTTATTTGGAAGTATGTATGAAGCATAATAGTTTGCATGCAAGAAACGCAGAAAGGCATAAAAACATTTTTTTTTCTGTTATAAAATACAATAATCATACAAAAACACATACATTTGTAACTACTACTATTAAGTAAAAGCCAACAACAAAAAATGAACAAAAAAAAAACACAATAATACAACAATAAAGAATCGCAAACACCATGTGGGCATTAAAATGGGCCTTCGAACGAACAGTCATGCAGTGTAATTGAACAGAACACAGTCGGCATACTCACACCAATGCGAAATGTCCCCGCCTTAGATGGTGCCGAGGTTGTTGGTGTAGGGGCTACCACCAGCGTTGGTCTCAATTGTAGCGTGCGTCTTGGGTCCGGTGCTATGTGCTATTATTAGATTTTTTGCTTGATACGACGTTGTAATGTCTGCTTTTCTTTAAAAAAAAATTTAAAAAAAAAAACTAGTTTTTGTCTTTGGTACTTAAATTTTTACGTCGTTCATCGCTGGCTGGCTGCTGTCGTTCAAGTGTTGTTCTTCGCTTTCTTTACAATTCTTATTTACATAAAATGAAATGGAAATCATGACGCGCCGAAGTAAATGCGAATACACAAACAGTGCCCAGCTGATTTGTAATTTGCAATTTCACTTTCAATACAGTTTTCTTTGACGCAAGCGCGTGTGTGTGTGGGTGCGTTTTTTTTTTTTTTTTTTTTGTTTTATTTCCTTGCAACGCAGTCTGACTGCTGATTGCCGGTAGCTTAGCGTAGTTGCACAGACACACACACATATATATACACATACAGCGCACAGATGCGAAGGTAAGATTGAAATGCCGCTGCCAGACGCTGATGAATTCTAGTATTTTTGCCTGTCTTCCGTATTTATGCACGTAGGTGGCAGTCACATTCTACTTTTTTCCGCGCATATTTTATTCACTTTATTTGTTTGTTTTAATTACTTTTCCAGCGTTTGTTTGTTTCTATTAGCAACTAATAAACAACAGCGGTTAGCCGCCAAAGTTTGTTTTGTGAATTCAATAAATTTGCAGTGAGCATTTAAAATTGCTGTGGGAAAATTTTAAGAAAAATAAATCTGGTAATTTCTAATGGATTATGTGATGAGATCGATTTAAGAAAAAAAAAATTATGGTAAAACTTGTTCAAAGCTCCCAAAACGTAAATTGAAAACAAAAACAAAAAGCACAATAAAAATAAAAATATGTTTTACTTTATTGATGAAATTACCAAAATGTGTGTTTTCTAACATTTTTTAAATTTTTCCTTTAAACACCGTGGAAATGTAGAAAAAGTAAGATAAAGAAAAACCATTTTATGGAATTCAACAGTGTTTGGATGGGAAAAGCGTGCTCCTCATCTTTTTTAAAAATCGTATTGAAGTTACCACGAATCGACTCCATGGCTCAAATTTAGATTTTGCTAAGTTTTTGTGATTTTCTAAAAAATTATAATTTTAATGTTTCAAATATCTTGAAGGGAATGATTTCTTTCCTTATAGACAACTTGGCTTTCTTAAACTTCAATACGACCATTTCTAGCAAAGACACACACCTTTTAATAAAGTGTTTCCCATTAAGAGTAGTAATGTTAAATATTCCGCTATTCCGGTAGATGTTGCTTTTGTTGTTGTAATTTTTTGACATTTGACAAGTCAAAGCTAAGCCCGTAATACCAATGAAACAATGCGCGCTTCAACAAATTCAAATTCACTACAAAAATCTTGAAAACCTGGGCGGTTCGTAAAATTAAAACATTTTTGGCTCGCTGTGAAGCACCACCTTGTCGGATGGCAGTACTGAAATTGGTGGAAAAAATGGAGCTTTTGGGGCAAATGAGTTAGTGACGTGAAGAATAATACACGTCACGTCGCTCAAGAACAACTGAGATTATTGCTCCTGTAATCCAAAATGTTGAAGAGAACCCAGATTTGTCCATTCCTCGTAGTTCTTTGGAATTGTGTGTTCCACAAACGTCGTTACACGGTATTTTGTATAAAGATTTGCCTCTTAAGACTTATAAAGTTCAGTTAACACCAGAACTCGAGCTGTCTGATAAGGTCCATTTCCACATCGACGGCTATGTCATTAAGCAAAACAGTCGCATCTGGGACTCGAAAAACATTAGATTTATTGTTGAAAAGTCTCTCTACCTTTAACGTGTAACTGTTTGGTGAGGTTTAAGGCCCAGCGGGGTCATTGGACCTTACTTCTTCGAAAATGAGGCTGGAGCAACAGTTACGGTGCCCTCAACTAAACAACACAGGAACATCACAGGTGATTGCAAAACAGACGAACCATCAAGGAACGCTTCTACGCACGATGCTGATTTACCGCTGTAGCTGGCCTTTACCAGGGGAGCTGACTCAAGATGGTTGAACGAGATCAGACAGCTATGGACGAAATTGGAGCTTCAGAGGTATCACAAATGGGACTATTGGCGTAAGTGTCTTGGATTGCGCTATCGAGAGGTAATTTATGATTTTTTATGGCCATAATTAGATGATATTAATCGGGAAAACGTTTACTTTCAACTAGACCGTGCTATGTGCCACATAAGCAACAAAACTAATGATCAAATGGCCAAAGTTTTGCTCTTTTTTTGCCTCGCCCGAAACAGTAAGAGCATTTATGAGCCATTCGATGGCTAACATAGTTTCAGACAAAATAATTGCCTTTCGTGTTGTTTTTAATTTTTTAGACCTAAAATAAGAAGATACAACCTTCTATAGAAGCATACAAACTAATGGCCTATAATCTTTGACCTCAACAACAGCGCCGTTAGTTCTGCTTCACCACACACTGAATAAAGAAGAGACGAGGTCAATAGGTCTAGAACTGAATGAGCAAAAGACTAAATGTCCAGCCAACAAACGCTGCTTTAGACAAAGTAGGCAACTGAAAAGTAAAGTATTTTCTTCAGCGTATGGAGGACGCCTTCGTCGGAAGGATCAAGTCTTAATTTGATGTCTCCAATTGGCGCCAAATCGCGAGGCGAGGCCTACGCCAATTAAGGAGAATAAATAAATTATTTATGATATTAAAATTAACAGTTGTTTAATAATAAGTATTAAATGATTTTAAGGTTTCGTAAGCTCTTAGCGTAAGGTGTATGGATTTTGTCTTCTACGATGTTTCGAAACAACACTTCTAGTAATAATCCACCCCACCTTCTTGCTACTTGCTTCTTCTCTTCAATCTCTTCTAATATATCATAATACCAATTTACTTGAATCCACTTTTTATACCACTAATGCGATCCGAGAAAACTTAAGCGTGTCTGTGATATTAACCGGATTCAGCAAAGGTTTCGACAAAGTGTATCACTCGTTTACTTATTGGGGTTCCAAGAAGTTTTTTACAGTACAATTTTTACTCTTCATACCTGTGTGATTGAACTCAAGCAGTGTTTAAAAATTCCATTACAGATTTCATGAAAGTTTCTTGTGGAGTTCGCAAGGGTAGCCATTTAAACCGATTCTATTTTCAATATTTATAAATGATTTTTTCGAGTTTAATTTAAACTAAAATTTAATGGATGAGGAGAATGTAAAACTTTGTAAATCATACACTTTTACGAATGAAGGTGTGCTAAACAGTATGGTTGAATGGTTTAAAATAAATCTGAATGCTCCGAAAGATATGAATTTCTCCCGATGAACGATGATGACACTTACTTACATAAGAGATAACTATTTTTGGGCAGAATACGATCTCTATAAGTCTATCCTAGATTAAACTTCACGCTTCAAATTGGTGTGAAAGTCAACAAAACTAAAAGTTTATTGACATTTGTAAAACGATGGTCCAGGAGATCAAGAACCCTTATGTTACCAAAATTTTGATCAACATTAGTAAGGCTCGTTTTGAAAAACGGAAATTCGGTATCAAATCTACTCTGATGGGATGGAATCAAATCAATTTGTTCTTTTTGCTTTAAGAAATTTGCATTGAAATTCTCCATATAATCTTTCTCCTCATACTAGTCGTCTGAAACTTATACACCTTCTCATACTTGCTTGCTGGTAGTAGAGAAATGCTTGGAGTAATTTTCATGGTTCAATTTCTGGTCTTCTTTTATTTCGTAAGTCGCATTTAACATCCCGTCTGGAGCATTCAGACAGTTGCGCCGGTTAGCTATATGCATTTGACTTGTCCCGAATGACTGAGGTATTAACCCGCAGCCTAAATCACTGATCGTTGAGACCATAAACTTGGAGAGTGTATTGTGCGTACGATGTATGTACCCGATAAGAAAGGATTTTCCGATTTACATAAAACTTTTCGATTTACATAAAATTTGTTACTTAGGTAGCGCTTTGCCTAAATTGATGTGGCAAAATACTTGTTCTTCCGGGACCGATTTATTTGAAAAGTTCTGATTTATTCTTTGATTTATATAAAATTTTGTGCAGAGTTAGCTTTTCGCCTTTATTTATATTGGTAATCGTTTTCGTGCGGGTAGTGGGCTTCGGATCGATACGTTTTTGTATAATATGCCGAGGATATGTAGCTGGCTGGTTTCCTGCCAAGATTAATATGTGGAGGACTATCATTTCTAGTAGTAAACTCGGGACCGATCTGTTCAGAAGAAATCGGTTCGAGTTGCTTGATATCTGGAAAATAGATGGCTCTTTACCTATTTCAAAGTGTGGAGTAATTTTCATTCAGGAATCGATCTAACAATGAACCAAATTTCTGGCACGACTCGCTTGAGCTTTGGAACAATTATACCTATTTGTCTAGATTAACATGTGGAAAACACTCCTTAATGTTATATAGAATGAGAAAGTGGTGGGAAAATGTTGGAAATGTGATTCAATTTTTCCTAAGATCTGCCTATATGCAAATTTTCGCTAACTAATCCTCCGTATGAGACGAATGATCGCTTCCAGCTCCTATATTTAGTATTCTAGACTTTATTGATCTCCTCTTAGGGTAGATTCTGGCACTAAAAATAAAGGTATGCTGTTTTAGCGTATTTATAATATATGCTCTTGCGTGTATATTTTTCTTTAAGAGTGTTCTTAAAAACGAACTTGAATTTCTATTGTATTGTATATACTTAAGTTCATACATATATACTTTGTTAAATTTTTCTTTAAAAATAGGGTTTTCTCCCTTTTTTCCAAAGTAGCCACTTGAAGTATGAGTATGAAAAGAAATGTACTTAGATGTAAGTAAGTCTTTAAAACAAGAAACCATAGAAATGTAATTGTGTAAAGTCGCCTTTTAGGCGCTTAAAAGCAAGGTAGCACAAAAAGCCGTAAAATAATACAGATACTTTTATATATGTATGTACATATAATATATAAGAAAGCAAGGGTATAGAAAATGAAATGCAACAACATTGGCAGCACAAGACGTAACGGAAACTCTTTGTTGCTGTTGATATAGAGAAGAAGAAAAATGCTTTTTTGCGTAGGGTATGCCCGTAGCCATGACTTAAGAGCTATGCTGGCGCTGTATAAGTGGGTGTGTATTGTAGCGCTTCCTCGCATATTCGCATGCACCCGCACAAAGTTGTAATATGCACAGTTATATACATATATATGTATATATATATATTCTCCCGTTTGCACTCGCTAAATGCAGGAAAAAGCTCACGTGATTTCATGGCGTCTATTGACAGTAAAGAAAATATATAAAAAAAAAAAAAAAACTGTTGGCAAACGTGGGCTGCAGTCGAATTTCGCTATGAATGAATGACTGAATGAAATTTTTTCAGGTCACCTAGCGCACTGTAATATTTGTTGGCTCGATGTATTACTCGATGTACATATGTATGTATTTTTTATTTTAATATGCGCCAGAAAGCAATGAAAGGCTCATTTCAGCAGGCATATACATATGTACAAACTAGATATATATGTGTGTATATGTACATACATATATATATGCAAGCAGATTCATGTGCTTTGCCATTATGAATTGCATAACTTTGCAGAAAACTGCGTGCCACCCACAGCCAAAATTGCAAGTACACACAAACATACATATATATTTAGTGTATACATCAAATGCTTGCATATATTTAGGCGTTCAAAATGG